TACAATGTGACAATGGTCACTTTAAAGTAATTTGTCAAGTTTATGATGATCAACACATTATGGATGTTTTGGGCTTTTACCTGTGCCACCTTCCACGCTACAGTCCAGACACTCCTCCGGCTCAGTAGTTGAGGGCTGTACAGATGATTCTTCTGTTCCAGTTTTAGTGTCCTCAGTTACCTCTTCTTGTTCTTGTTCTTGTTCTTGTTCTTGTTCTTGTTCTTCTTCTTCATCATCATCATCATCATCATCATCATCACTGTCACCAAGAGACCCAAGGGCCTGCATGTGAGCTTGGACTATGCGCTGGACAGCTGCAAAACAAAAAGAGCATAGCTAATGCTACACATTGGTACAATAAATACATTTCCCTTAACTCTGTAACCCCCAACCACTCAGGGTCTACCAGAGGAAAAAAAGAGTGAGAAACCCACAATTTCAAACCCTAAAAAGCTTTTTTCACATTCAAAAAGGAGATATTTTATTAAAACATAAAAGCAAAATACAGCAAATAAATAAATGAATAAAAACAAATAAACCAGCAATAATTTGACACAGTGCATTAAACACTTGGGAAGTCATGAAACTCAGAGAGTCCAGCATGCAGTAGTGGACAAAACACACAGCCAGAATCAAAACAATTACATGCTGATACAGTATATGGATATCTATAAAGGGTTACAGGATTCAAGGTGATCCAACCAACAATCCCAAACCTTTTGTAATTTAGTGGGGCAGCCTCTATGCTCACAGATAAGGTTTTTATATGGCAAGGTGGTGTTAACCTGGGCTATCCAAGCAGCACAAGAAGGCGGCAAAGCCTGTATCTAGGTTCTAGCAATCAACTTGCGTGCAAGATATAGAGTCTCATGTAGGAATAAACTGTTCAATGTATCTAAATTCAAGTGTGAGAATATTCCCAGAAGACAATACTTTGGGTTAAGGGTGATCGGGGACACCAATTTTATCATGCAGGAATTTGACTGCCTGGTTCCAATATCCTTCTATGAGTGGGCAATCCCAAATGAAGTGGAAAAATGAACCTATGGCAGAAGAACACATAGGGCACAGAGGGCTATGCATGAGGTGAAACCTGGACAGTCACACGGGGATCAGGTATGATCTATGGAGAATGTATAGTTGAACAAGTCTATCCAACAATTTAGGGGAAGCCATCTTACAAACTTCCATAGTCTCCCCGAAAAGCTTTTTTTTAACTGTAAGATTGTGAAAATGTGAAAAGTCTTCTGTAGAAACTGGTTCTATACAAGTACAGTAGAAAACTAAGTACGGTAGGCCATATTTTCTTCATACAGAGGGAGCGAGTACGTGCAGCCAAGATGGCGCCCGCACGTGTGACAGGCGAAGGGCCGGGAGGATCGTTACTCACTCGGTACCGGGCCGATCTTCGTCTGGATCGCATGGAAGTGACGCCTGCTGCCACCGGGACCCCTGCGAGGAGAATGTGAGTAAAGCAGACCCGATTTGTGCCGCTGAGAAGCAGGATGACTGGACGGATGAGAGGAGCTGCAGTTAAGCACGTCCGTTCAGTCTCACATCCCAGCCACGCCCCTTCTTCATACTACTTTAACACGTAGTTAAACAATGCAATATATTTCCTCTTACCAGTTCTCACATGTGTTGGCTCATTTGTTTTCTTTTTTTAGGCTCTGTTTTCTTTTCTTCTGGTGACACTTCCTGTAATAGGGTAATAACGCTCACTCACTATACTGTATTTAGGAGGTGCAGTGTAGTCACACTAGGACATCACTACAGAACACCTCCCTCTCTCCTATTTTCCATAGCATTCAGGCGAGGTGTTTTGTAATCCACAGTCACTGCTTGGAACAATGCTAACTTATAAGCGTGTAGCACAGGCAAAGAGCAAAAGAAGTTATCAGATTTCAAGATTTCTGTCTGGGTCATCAGGTATTTTTTTGCACTTATCGAACAAATATACCAAAATTCTCTAAATGGTACAGTATTTGACAGACCAAAACGGAGGAAATAAAATAAGTTTATTGTTAGGGTTTATATACATTTTAATCTTGTTTGTTTGACCATACATGTTGATGTCAGTAGAGAGTCTAGGACAGGGAGAGCAGTCTGTCTGCCCCACAGCAGTTAGCCCCTGTGTGTCTGATGTTACCATATGGGAGAACACAAAATCACCAGCACTCCAAACAAATTTTTATAACAGAGTTATTGTGTAGTCAGGTCAAATGCATACCAAAGTTTTGGGGCCTCACAGGTTACCTTGCTCAAGGTGACATAGTGGCAATAACCCCATAAATCAACCATGTATAAATACCGTGGTAGCAGGGCCATCCCTTTAGGCCCCGTTCACATTGAGCGACTTATCGCGCGGTAATTCCCGCGATATCGCGGCAATTTACAGCGCGATATCGCTCTCCAATGCTTCTCAATGGGGCAAAGGGTCCTGCTGTCGCGGGTCGTGTGTCGCTACAGCAGGACCCTTTTTGGAGCGGATTTAGCCGCGATTCAAGCTTGCTCAATGCAAGCATTTGCGCGATATCGCGTGACAAATCACGCGATATCGCGCAACAAACGCGCGATTTGCGAACCGCTCAATGTGAACGGGGCCTAAATGGGCTGTTGCCTCAGGTAGCATCTCTTTGGGTCACAAGGGGGGCACCAGGCAGAGAGGCACGGCACAATGTTTGTAGTGTGCCTGCTGCCTCCTTACTGGCCAAATGGTCCCAGGTTGCTTAGATAGTTCTGTTTGTAACTAGTTAAAAGACACTATGTAGTCTGCAATACAGAAGGACTCATGGGCAGGGCCGGCCTTAGGGGTGTGCGAGCTGTGCGGCCGCACAGGGTGCCATAGCAACAAGGGCGCTGTGCGGCCGACACAGCTTATCCTGGGGGCTTCTCTCACCCTCACCACTGGCCATCCGATATGACAGCGCTCCCTCGTACGCCCCCCCCACCTTCGAGGGGGGGCGCAGGAGGGAGCGCTGCCTGCTGTCAGGATGGCGGAGCGGTGAGGGGGAGAGAAGCCTTGCCCGCAGCTTTCAGGATGGCCGAGCGGGGAGGAGAGAGGAGCCGCTGTCACCCTGTCTGTTTCAGGATGACAGCGGCTCTGTGCGTGGCAGAGCGGGGGATCGTTAAATATCAGTGATATTTACCGGTCCTCCATGTGAGAAGGACAAACACTGGAGCAATCGTCTGATTACTCCAGTGTTTGTAAATAACTGGGGACACATAGTACTATGTGTCCCCAGTTATGAATGAACAGGCTGTGATTTACATCGCAGCCTGTTCATTCAAGATTTCCTCAATGGGGAGAAGCACTCAGTACAGAGGCTCCTCCCCATTCAGAAACAGCTGATAGAGAAATATTTCCCAGGAGGCTCTGCTTGGCAGGAGGAGGGAGACTGGGTTGGTGAGGCTGGGCAGGCCCACTCCGGGAGAGCCCTGTGAAGACAGAGCTCTGTAACAGAGCTGTGTGGCTGACGCAGAGCAGACTTAGACCCTGTGTGAGTTGTCTAGGGGTGTGTAAGCAGACTGAAGAGCCTACAGATAGAGAAAGACTTCAGTCTGGTCTGCTCAGTGTCGTTTGACAATTGCCTCTGTGGGGCACCGTGTCACCGATACAGCGGGAATATCAGGGTCTGGACAAACGGAGCCTGTGCAGTGAGGGATCCAAAAAGGCTCAGCAATCCATGGGAGGCCTAGTGGTGTTTACAGAGAAAGTTCTTCAGCATCTTCCTGTGACCAAAGATCATCTTCAAGGGACAGTGGGTGACTTCAGGACCAGCAAAAATGTCGTCTTGAGAGAAAGGGGGGCACTCGTTTCTCGCTGACGGGCATCAAAGCTGCAAGACTGAGAGGCATTTGGCCATTTGTGTTATTTCAGCAGCACTATATGGGCCCCAATGATGGCAAGCCTAGACTATTGCTACTGGCAAATAGTATAGAGAGTTAGAGATTAATTGGGACTGGGACATTAGCAATCGAGTGCGCAAAGTCAAAGATAGCCTCTGAGATAGTTCAGTAGTGCATATCTCAACATACAGATAGCCACGGCTGCTCAGTGTCTGAATACCAAATGTATGTTGTTGAAAATAGTTTCTTCAATTATTGTGTTTCTTTTATGCAATGCTTGGCAAATATATATCAATTGCTTAGTAAAGTTGTTTACAACAATCTCTAAGGTGTGTTGGTGTGCTGTGGGTCCTGTTTTGGCGGTACATTTTGGCTTGGGGACAGAATTACCCGAGTTATTCTGGCGGCTCCTCCGGGGGTGAGCGCTACATACAAAAAATCTTCTTCAACAAAAAGTGCAAGGAAAAGGTGTTCACTGAAAACTGGATGATCTCTAAATCCACATAAAGCTATGAGAAAATACAAGCAGTGTGGGTCAAAAAAATATGTGTATATCTAATTCCCAAAACCCTTTAGTATGTCAATCCATCTGAGACAGAATTTTATTTTTCCATAACAGTATTGTAATCCTAAATAATATAAGATAACCAGCAGCTTGGGTCACTTTTATGATCTGCACATTTGGTACTAAAAAATATAACCTGCATTAGATCTCAGTCCAGCTAAACAGACGTTTATCTGGACCACAAATATGAGAGCTTGAATTTCCTGTATTGTGAAATAATCCAAACCACAGCATCAATATTAAAAGACACGGCTGACCTCCCAGCTTGGAGCTGCCAAATAGTGACTTTGATCAATGAGTTCTTGCACAATAATCTTGTTATTCACAGATGTGATAATAAAGGCGTATCTAAACCTAAAATCAAAATTGTTATATATTCAAGCTTACAAATCCTTAGATGTGTTGGTTGCATTAGTTTTTTTTTTTTTTCATGGAAGAATAGCTATAAGAAACTTATAGGGTTATTCACAAAGCTGCCAAAGGCAGCCGAGTGAATAACCGAGCCGTAGTGAAGTGAGCTGAACACCGTTCGGCTATTCACTACGGCTCAGTACTGCTGATTTCAGCCGAACAACAGCTGAAGTCAGCCGCACATCGACTGCACTGCGGTCAGCCGAACATGCTGTGCATGTTTGGCTGAGCCGAAGTGCAGAAGGACTTCAACTCAGCCAATGCAACAGATGGATCAGCTGAGTCGAAGCTCCGGTAGCTCACTCACTGCCGTTCGCCCCTATCCTATCCGCAGTAAGTGAATAGCCGAATGCCGCCGAGCAGCAATCGGCTCGGCTATTCTGCTTGGTACCTCCAGGTTACCGAGCACAATAGGAAATACTGAAAAAAGTTGAGAAACAAAAAAGGCAAAAAAAATGTTAAAAAATTTAAATATACAATACATTTTAA